GGAAGTATCTTACAACGGACACCTCTAAGACATTAGTACATGCCATGATTACAAGTAGAATTGATTACTGTAACAGTTTGCTATGTGGACTCCCGGACAACTCTTTAAACAAACTTCAGCGAGTTCAAAACGCAGCAGCCCGGCTTATAACTGGAACAGCAAAGTTTTCTCACATAACTCCGGTGCTCCGCTCCCTTCACTGGCTTCCCATAAAACAGAGAGTACAATTTAAAATTTTAATTTTAATTTTTAAAGCTATTAATGGCCTAGCTCCTAATTATATTAGTAATTTAGTTAACATTTTATGCCCTAGCAAATATTTGCTTCGTCGAAACAATGAGATACTATTGGAACCATACAATGGTAAAACCAAGAAAACGCTAGGTGACAGGGCGTTTGCTGTGGCAGCCCCCAGGCTTTTTAATTCACTCCCTCGTGAAATCAGACACGAGACATGTTTTAACACTTTTAAAACTAAGGTAAGACCCTTTTTGTTTCGTATGGCTTTCTGTTAATTTTATCTAATTTAGTTGCTCATTATCTTATTTTTAATATGATGTAATTTAGTTTTTTTATGATGTATTTTTAGTTTTTATATGATGTATATAGTTTTCTTTTGCTTTTGTTTATAGTTTTTAGGTATCTTAGATGTAACGCGCATTTGATCCTATTCTAATGTTAATTTGCGCGCTATAAGCAATAAATATATATATATATATATTTTTTTTTTTACATTAATGGCACTTTGTGCTTTCACTGCGCTACCATTTGGTCTTTGCTCTGCCACTTTGATTTGTCAGCAAACCACTAAGAGCATTGTCTACATTTTACATTCAGAAGGCATTTTCGGGTTGACGAATACATCCATGACTTCTACAGTGCAGAATCCCCTTCTGTTTCAGAGTCTTCCTTTCTGTGCATGAATTATTTGTTTGATGAGTTAGGCGTCTTGGTTTCACCAGAAAAGGACACCCTGCCTTGTCACCAATTGCTTTGCTTGGGTGTTACAATTAACACTCTGGAAATGGCTTTGACTGTACCATCATTTCGTGTTGCTGAGTTGCAATCAGAACTTGGAACATGGCTGTACAAACCTAACTTTACAAAGCGACAACTTCCTAAGGTAGGAGGCTTCTTTAGACACCTTAATAAAGTTTCATCAGCATCATCACCTGCTTTTGGGAAAGTTGTCTTATGTGTCGGCTTTTGTTTGGGCGGGACGGGCCTCGGTGAATCTTTTGTTAAATGCCTTGTGGTCTTGTCAGTCTTCCCATCCTGTTACTGATGATCTTCGCACTGATATTAACTGGTGGCTATTGTTCTGTCTCACTACAACCATGTTTCCGTCATCCCCTCTGATGTTGTCATCTACAGTCTGGAACTTTTTGCTAACAATGCTTCCCTTACTGGTTGCAGTGCTGTTTCTTTTGGAAAGTGTTTTCACTGGGAGTTTCACGAGTTCATCCTCTCTCAGGCCTTGCACATAGTGAAGTAGAACTGCTCACCCTTGTCATTGCCATCAAGTTGTGGGCTCGAATGCTGCAAGGTCTTCACGTTTAGCTGCTCTCTGACAACCCTACCTGTGTCTCGATCCTTTTGTCTCAACATGCCTCCAACTGTTTCATGCAGTGCTGTTTACGAGAACTCTGGCTGTTCCTTGCCTAGCATAACATCCAACTAGTTCTCCGATAGGTTTCTGGGAGCGAAAATTGGTTGGCTGATGCTCTCAGCAGATTCCACACTGGCGATTATTCTCTGTTAGAGTGTTCAGTGCCTGATCATCTATTAATGTTTACGATTGTTTGATTTGCTTCACCCTCCGTGTTTTGTTTTTCTTTTTTGCAGAAAGCTCTGAAAGTCTCATGGATCACTCCTGCAGGGTTCAGTCTTTTGCTTTCCAGGAGTCCACAAAGGCAAACATACGAATTCACTTCAACAGTTATCTTTTATTTTGTCATTATTTTAATTTCGTCAAGTTTCCTGTTTCAAAACAATCGTTTTTATCGTACTCGGTTTTTCTTCTAAGTCGCTTTCGTGCTGTTTCTTATTGAATTACATTAACATTCTTAAGCATATCAACCAGTTTCTGGGTGCCAACATATCTTTCATGCACAACTACGATGTTTTCCCACCAAGTGTGGGTTATGTCATGTCATGGGTGACTCGGTGTGTGGCACTCACTCTGTTACAGTTGATATCCTTTTGAATGTTTTTAGGCATTTTAGTTTGTCTTGTCTGCTACATGTTTGCATGCATGCTGCTTTTTAAGTTGCCTTGTTTTCCTTTCTCCGTATTTCTAATTTAGTGCCATATTCTTTTGATGATCTTTCATACAGTAGCAATTATTTTCTTCAGCCCAAGGATGTTTCCTACACACCCACTGGGCGCAATTTTGCAAGTTTACAGCACCAAAACAATTCAATGTTTCAACGCTCTCTTGAGATTCCTTTACCATTCATTCCTGGCTCGGTTTTGTGCCTTGTCACTGCTTTGTCTTGTTATTTATGCACCATGCCAGCGCCTGCAGATTCGCCTCTGTTTCTTCTTTTAGGAGCTATTCCCAGAGCAACCTTTTACCCCAAAACAACACTACTTAGTCCATTTACCCAAAGTCATCCTCCTTCTGGGTCCTCTAATCAATTTATGGGCAATACGGTTTTAGGCCAAGCATTAGTTTTTCAAACAACTTAAAAAAATTTTGTTTTTTACAAACTTGTGTCTGTCATTATGTCACCATCATCAGAAGCTAGCTGCCATCAGACGTAATTGAATATTAAAGGAAAACGTGTGTGGACCTATGCATCAGCTTCAAGGAGAAGAACTGTCCAGAGCCAAGAAAAAGGATTTCGATAATTCTCTCAATGCAAGAAAGTAGACTAAACGTTCTTGAATCTTTCAAATGGATTATTTTTCATGGCACTAAATATATGGTGGACAAATGCTATTTGGCTTTTAAGTTTGACAACGAAGAAAATCCGATGTTTGGAAAATTATGTTATAGACTGGAAGCTAATATTTCCCTTGTTGTGTTTGATGTAATATTCTTGGAGACAGTTGGGTTTGACATCTTACTAAGAGCATATGAAGTACGGCCCCAAGCATCTGGGATTGTTTCAGTGATATCCAACATGCTGCTTACTCATACACCACTGCCTGTTTATTCTTTCAATGACCATGATTACATCAAGGTAAAATTTTAGACCTTAAGGACTAGTAAGCTACAACCTCGGACAAAACCTATTGAGACATTTCAAAAATACCGATTTTTTTCACTCACCTTGACAACAATGCTTATCGTCGCAAATTAAAAGACTGTTTCCCCCTCCCCTTTTGCAATGTTGTTTACAACAACACAACAAATGCACACTTGAGCTGTTCGGCCAAAACAACATTGCACCAGGGGTGGGGAGGGGGGCGAATTTGTTCCTTTTGGACACGAAGATTGCATGGCGCAAAATTGAAAACTGCATTGAAATGTCTCAACAGTTTTGTCCGGGGTTGTAGCTGTTTCATTACTGAACCATATTCTGTTGAGATATTTAATATTACTGTTGCTGCTAGCCGATGATGAAGTAAGTTCTTTCAAGTACTCAATTACTTCTATAAAAAAAAGTTTTGTTTTCATGATTGTTATTATTTTTAGTATGTATCTGACTGGAATGCTTGTCCAAATTGAGGGTTTTGGCTCTAATTTTAGGGGCAAGCCACTTATTTCTGTAAACAATTACTTCAAGAATATTTCACCTCTAAAATTACAGAGGCAGAAAACTGTGCCTTTTCCTTATTTTAGAGTATTATTCCTTTTTTCAGGGAGAAAATTTTTGTTATGTGCTTTGCAACTAAATGCACTGTATTCCCTCTAAGAGAGATTAAACACTTAAAATCAGTGAAAAAATGTGACCCTCTACAGGATTTCCAGCATAATGGTGATGGCATGGGCACGCTATTTTAGCATGGTAGACAAAAGAAATTTTCATTAACACAGTAACAGCGTGTCACAATGCATGCCAAATTAAAATTTTCTTTTGTTCCATACAAACAATGAACCGTATTCAGGTTAAACAAAGAAGCGTGTTAAAGGATGCGAAAACAAAAGCCGTGTCATATTGCACCCTGGTGTGCGAAAATATCACGTTTGGGCCGTGTTAAATAATCTTAAGACCCAGATCAGATCAGAAATCTGTAAGAGATTGCATGCGCGAAAAATTATTCTATCTTCAATAAAGCAAAATCACGACACACATTCATAACTTATTTTTGTCATCGAATCAGTGATTCATCTTGTAAATTTCAACTGTTATCTTCCAATTCATCACAAATTGTCACATGAAACTCGTTTTTCTTCTCTAAAAACACAGAAATTTATAGCAAGATCATGAGCACGCGTTTGTTACTTATGATCGAATCGGCGTTTTATGTTGTAAATTTCACCTGTTATCTTTTAAATGAATCACAAATTGTCCCATGAAACCTGTTTTGTTTGCCACATTCTTATCTCAAAAGACGGAAATTTCTAGAAAAAAATAACAAGATCGATTTCATAATCGAAAATATTGTACTGACTGACGGCTGAAATTAGGCCATAGCCGGGACAACATTATAATTTCCAGCTCTGCAGTTAGGTCCTTTTCATGGCATGAATGACAACAACATTTTCAGCTTTTGTTATCCGAAATAAATTCCTTTTGCAGAAATTAGGCCATAGCCGGGACAACATAAGAATAATTTCCAGCTCTGCAGTTAGGCTCTTTTCACGGCACGAATGACAACAATATTTTGTTTTTGTTATTATCCGAAATAAATTCCTTTTGCTGAAATTAGGCCACAGCCGGGACAACATAATAAGAATAGTTTCTGGCTCTGTAATTAGGCCTTTTCACCGCACGAATGACAACAATATTTCCATTTTTTGTTATCCAAAATAGAGTCCTTTTTATTTACTTTTTCGGAGGTAGGCAAAGGTTTAAATCACGTTTGAAAGACAGGCTTCGAAATCGGCTTCACAAGAACATTTTGTAAGTGTCTGCCGTGTTCTGAGGCACTGTTACCTGTTCGCTAATAAAAACTTTCAAACATCTCTTTTCTGAAAGGAACTCTCGACCAAAGAAAATTGTTTGTTCCTCTCATTTTGATGCTTCAAATTAGTGAGCATTGCTTCTGCTTCAATCCTGCTTCAATCATTCTGTTGCGAGCTGAATGTTAAAAGATCCCAGGGGAAAGGAATCAAATTTCAACGGCTAACCAAATCGCTCCCGACTACGTCAGCAAAATACAGTTGACTCCCGATAACTCGAACCCGCGCTAACTCAACCCAAAGTCAATTTCCCCTGGATTTCCTTTTCATTTACTGCAATTTTACCCTCGGTAACTCGAACCTCCCGCTAACTTGAAGTAATTTTTGTGTCCCTTCAGCTCATTTCTAGACAATTTTACCCTCGATAACTCAAACCATGTCATAAGCGCGTGACAAGTCGGGAAAAAAACCGTGTACTGAAGTCCGAAACATTGAATTTATTTCAAAAACAACCAAGTAAATTCTTTGTCTTTACCTTTTTGTCACTCCAGTTCAAATTCAGTGTCCATTCCTATATACTTTGTTGGTTAATTGCCTTTCCTTCTCATCCATTTGCTTATTTCCTTACTTCCTGTTATTTGCTTCAAACTCCCGATAACTCGAACTTTTTTCGATTTCCCTTGAAGGTTCGAGCTATCGGGAGTCGACTGTATTTAAAAACAAAGAATTGCCAAGATATGCAAGTCTGATCCTCCCAATCTTAGTTTATTTTAAATGTCACAAACATCTTAATCATAAAACATACAATATTTTTCGCTCAAGAACTTCAGATAGACTTAAGCAAGGAAAACAAAATGGCCCAATCTAATTTTTTACACTGATATGTACGGAACCGAAATTGGTTTATCGGTTTACTGAACTACATACATTGCAATGTTATATTGTTTCTTAAGAAAGTCCAGTTAAAGATTTGTATTTTTCTGTGGTCTTCTAATTACAGTTCGTCTTTTCCCCCTGCATTTGGTGTTGATGTGTGTTCGAACACTCTCCCACTGGCTAGTAAAAACTGGAGAATCAAATTTCCGACGGAGCGTCGACTCTAGAAAAAGGTGCTTTAACTCATCCAACTGCTGATAGCCATTAGACCCAGAAGTGTTGCTGTTAGCCAATTCTTTGTCGGTAAACCGGACGTCTACGTAGGCCATAGCAGTTGTAATAATGTTACTTCCAAAGGAAACTATTGATTCAACCTTTCACTGGTGATCATCTATGGGGCTATGACTGCTGTCTCTGCGCTGCACAAATGGGGCATTCTGATCAAAGGTGGATAGCGGTGATGGCAGAGATGGTTCCCTATTGTCTTGTCAGAATTGCCGAATTCAGCAGATAAGAGAACGTAGACTGGCTGCGAGATTATTTTCGTGCAACGTAACGTCTCTATACTACAGGTACAAGTAAGATTTGCAATAACGTGTTCTTTCCAAATGTCTCATGACTACAAGAAAAGTAACTGGACGCTCGTGCTAGGTACTCGCAACTAATAATAACTAATAACCGAAACTGGTAAGGGGTTGAACAATTCCTTATGAGTTTCTGCTAATAGTTATGAATAAAACTATTGAAAACAAAAAAACAAACAAAAACAGTAAAACCAGTGAAAGAGTGGTTACTGGTCGTTTCGATACAAGTTCATTCAGTCGAATTGTAAGAATTTTCACGTTACTTGGCTTACAGGAGGAAGAATATTCACCCAAAATGTTTTCCTTTTTCATGCACAAACTATACTTGAAGTGATGGAAATTTTTGAATAACTTTAATGCTTGAGGTCGTATCAAAACGACTTGTATCGAAACAACTTTGTACATCAGAAAGACCGCGGTTTCCCATAGCAAACATGTTAACAAAATAAGTGGCGAATTGTAATTTTTCTTTTGATGAATCTTGGTGAAAAATTGTTCGACATTACAGTCTTACCTCGTCACTCGAAGCTTTTCGTTTTTTCGACGTACTAGCATCCTTATCTTCGTTGGTTCTTTTCTTTTCTGGAGAAACAGGTTCGGGTCAAAATTCCCTGCGTTCATCTCAACGAAAGCCCTTTCCTCTTTGTTAAGGTTATCTTCGTTATCTAAAAATTGAGAAAATGCAAGCGTTATAAAGCCTTAAAGGGGAACAACAATTACATGTATAACAAAAACTTGAAATGCAGCAAAACATCCGTTAGATGCATTTATCAATGATCAAGAAAAAGATTGGAAAAGGCGTCCCTACTTACCACCTGTCGCAATAACCATAGCTTCCAGCAGCTTGCCTCCACTTTTGACCGTAACCACGTCTCTCGCATTTGGTGCAGTCTCTGAAAACAGCTTCCCTGTCTCTTTCGATCGCATTTTTTTGTTTCAACAACGCATGTACATTTGTCAACAGCAAAATACACATGACACAGTTTTGGAACTTTGGTAACGTTGCGTAAAGCCATCATGAACGTCTAGTAACAATCTGGCACAAGGCTGTAACCACAGTGAAACTTTTTTGCTCATGTCAGGCTTTTATGCCTGAGCAGTAAGTGATTTATATTCTGTCAGTAAGCCAAACAAGATTACTTTTCCGGTCTATTGTTTTATTTTAGCTACCCCCAACAATAGGTGCGATAACTACGAGGTGCAACTGTGATAAACAATAGCACTTAAAGAAGGCAAATTAACAACTCTTTTGGTGGCGGAAGGAAAACTGCCGTGGCTATGTCCACGCGAGTCCATTAATGCGTTTAAGGATAGCTATAGCACTTAACAGCACTTAACGTTTTATAAACCTATCCAGTCTCATAATTAAGTGTTCACGAAAACGTCCGTTTATGATCGTTTACGTGTAGACAGCGCCGAAAACGCAAAGTTTGCAAGCGTTTTATAAACTCTCATCGACTTGGTGTAAAATTTTTTTCTTTTCATCTTGTCAAAAGTAGAAGTACCAAACTAAATCAACGCTGATTCAAGAATAAAGAGCTCAAAAGGAATTACCTTATTTTGATGTATTATTCTTTAATTACAGTTGATTAAAACTTCTTGAAAAACAACCAAAAATGAGGGCAGAGATCTAAAGCACTTAACTATTGTATCATTACGCGTCCTTTATATGGTTCATTGTTCAAAGCCTAAGTGTCGGTTTATACGTCCGCAAGTAACCAGGATTAAATAAAAACTTGAAAGCGTAAACACTTAACACTTTTTAAAACTGGATTTTCTTTAGAAGCGTGTCCCGAAAAGATATAAAAATTTTCTGAAGTACTAGTCTTCCAGGTATTTCTAGATTGACACCACTGTGCTAAAATTCACTGGCTTGACCACAGTGTAGAACGACTCTAGCAAGAGCCTCAGGGGTTTTCAGAGGGCAAATCTAATTAATTCAGCAGAATTAAATAGATGCTACCGAAAACAAACCAAAAAATAAGACTGAAAAATGATTTAGCCACCTAGAAAAACGTATTCTAAGAGGAATCCCGACTCTCCTGATTGTTTCAAACGTCCCGCTACTGCCGTCTGCAAAAGTCAAATTTAATGCATTGAATTGAGTATTTTTAAGACTAAGGGGTAATTACATGAGACCGGGGCGAACTCAAGACCGGTATGAGTTCGTATTGGTCTCCATACATTTTTTTCATGCATTTACATGGGAACGGCCTAAAAATGAACTCAGACTGGCCTGACTTCGTGTCAGTCGCTGACCTTACTCAAGTTACTTTCGTACCGGTCTGAGACTGTACCGTTCTCATGAAAAACGGAAACGAATATCAGACCGGATCCATAAATAGCATATTTCTTCGCATGGCTTGATCATTTTTAGGTTAGGACAGTTAGTGAATGATGTTCAGTCAATAATCGACGTGTGAAAGTTAATTATAGCTCCAAAAATCTCCCGTTTTTGAGTTTGTACCGGTTTCATGTAATCGAACAAGCATTTCGTCCGGGACTCGTGTGAAAGGCTGCAAAAATTACAAATTCGAACCGGTTTGAGTTCGTCCTGGTCTCATGTCATTACCCCCTAAATCCTAGGAAGAGGTTGGTAGTTTGTGTATTTCATTGCAAGCAGGCTTGTAATATTAAACCTCACGTGTCGTAAATAACAATCAGCAATAATGACGTAAGTTTCATACTAAGGGAAACAAGGTAGAGAGCACTGCAAAATTAAAATCTTGTTACTTTGTTAGAATTAAACGTTTGTAGTCTAAGAAAAGTGCTCCCTTGTTTTAAAATGTGACTTCGAGCTTGAGAAACAATACTCACACTCTTGTAAGTTTACAAACCCTTACATTTTGTTTAATTACTTGCACAGAAGTCTTCAACTACATACATTACGGTAAAAAATCGAATAAGTAGTCACTGCATCTTTTTAAAGATAATTTTACAATATTCTCAATTAGCTATCAGTGACTCACAATAAAGTTAACAAGTTCTTAATCTTAAACAGGTGGAGCAACCAAATTTTCAGTTCCATCGCGACAAAATTCTCCCATCTCTTTATAAAGATACTCAGCACGTTCCCGGCTGATGCCTTGGGGATTGATTATGTCGGGGAGTTGACCAGGTTGCGGAAGCTGATTTCTGTTTCGGGGAAAGTTAATGGCCTTTTCTTCCGAGAACCAGTATTGCTTGCAAAATACAGTTCCTGGGAACTCCTTGTTGAATCGAAAATGAAAATATGATTTAATGTTAGGTACTTTCTTATAGAATTGTCCTAGGTAAGTGGCCGGATCAAATGTAGGCACACGAACTGTTCCGTTGTGTAAGCCGACAAACTCGGCAACGCTAACTGAAGCAGATTCTTCAACCGCTCAGGCAATGTCAAACAGAGATGAAATAAAGGTACGTCTTGTCTTTTGCTTAACTAAACCAAAACACCAGTCAGGGGCAAACTTTGTGTGTCCGGGCAATAGAAAGTCATAGTTTATACTGCTTTGCAGTCCATTGTTTACACGCCACAAATAGTACCACAAAAACCCAGAATTTTTGTTTTGGGCCCTGCAGTTATCTGCGTGGACTTGAGCGTCAGTCTTGCCTAATCCATGGTGCTCGAAGAAGTAATGAACGTAGGAGATTGTGCTGTTTGCTCCTTTCCCTGTCAAAACGTTTTCGTCAATAAGAAAATTGACTTGGCGAGGAATTGCTTCACAGCATACACCAAAGAGTGCACATTTTCTTGGCGTTTTAAAATAGATTGGTCCAGGCTGGTTAGGATTTGCAGGATAGTGCAGCTGCTGTGCGTAGTCGTACGAGTAATGTACTGTTCCTTTGTATGAGCAAGGTCTCTGTCCGAACGCAAAATCGGCTTTTTCAAGATGTGCTTGGACGCGCACTTTCATTTCCTTACATGACATTTTGTAATATTCTCGTTCTCCTGAGGCCAGACGGAGGTCAAGGTCAATCCATTCTTCTTGTAATGTTTTACCAGGCTGTGAAATCGGAAGTATTGAAGACAGTGCAGAAATAGAAACGTTTTCTTGCAGATTCTTTTTCCATGATAAAAGAAACACATCCTTGTGCTTTGGCGGGTTTTTTCCACTCTGCCCGAGATGCTAGTTTCGCTACAGTTCAAGGAGCTGTGAATGATTCCCAGTATGACTAAGTCAAGTTCAGCGGATGATAGTTCACTACAGTTGTTTCTACACTCTGTGATATCATCTAGGCTCAGGGTTGCACTGCATGCCATCTCTCCCACACCCATTTTACATTTACAGGTTTCCGAGTAAAATGCTTCCACTTTGGAACGTTCCGTTTCGTATATTTCCATGATCTCAACAGCTTCATCTTGATCAGTGTCATCGCCTTCGTCGTCAGAACTGCTGTCTGAATAATCATCCTCGTCATCTTCTTCCTTGATCTCTCTCATTTTGAAATACATTTCCTCGACACTTTCTAATTGATCTAAATCTTCCGTTGTGAAATTTACTCCGCAGTTAGAACGTTCCGTTGCGTTGTACTCCATGTTTACTGTGTTGTGTTTTAGCATTAAAGATTGAAGATTCAAGTAACTATGGTAACTATGGTAACGTACAATACCCCATAATAAGACACGTTACTAAGACGAAACTTGCAGCAATTCCAAACACTTTAAGGTCATATAAAAGCATGAGTTTTAGTTTTAGTCGTACTACATGAGTGATTTATCTCTCTTTCGTCGTGCCAACTGTAAGCCACATGCACGTAGTATTTAAATTGTTCTACCCCTTGATATGTAGTAATTATGCGAACATTTTACGCACAGCAGGAAAGTAGAAATCTGCTTTAATGCTGTTTTGGCTTGTTATGTTAGTTCAGCACAAACTGTATCGCCCATCAAGTTATATTTTTTAAGAGCCACATTATTGCTATTGATTTTTTTCAATAATTTACGGTCCTGTTATTTCATTTGTCATCTTTCAGCGTAAGGTGCGAGCGCTTGTGCTAGGAAGAACTTTTTACATCAGGCACCTTTTTCGCGACCATTCTTTCAATGTTCGAGTAACTTCTAAAACTAAAGGCTTTCTTGCTTAACCTCTTCGGTTGCCTAACAACTCTTTTCGTGCTACCGTGCCATATCGCATGACTTTAACATGCTACAAAGCGTGTCATTTAACACGCCGCTGAAAGTAAAAGATTGAGTGTGTTATGATGTGCAAACAAAAGCTACTGTGACACTCTTTGTTTCCTTATTAAATATGCGCATACGCGTGTCATATGTCACGCTTAGCGTGCCGTGTCATCGCACGCGTGCCCGTGTTATCACCATTATGCTGGAAATCCTGTGGAGGGTCACAAATATTCTTGAAGTGTTAACTTCTTATGTTTAGAGTTTTTCACTTCATTGAGGAAACCACTTTTTGCATTGCACATTAACTATGTGGCCACATTCTTTCATGTTCCAAAGCAAAGTCCCCAAGAACAACAAAGTCCTCACTGACAGAGCAAAATATTGCTAACTACCTTAATATGGGGGCACAAAGCTCCAGTAAACGTAAAAAATAACAGTTCTCTTTCATGCTAATATCCGTTCCATGTGAAGAAGACAAAAATTAATGTGATTTGGTTTCACAAGTGAAGTAGTGCTATCATCCACAAATCCTGAATGAAGTGAGGTTGAAAAAATCCTATCAAATGTCACCATATTCCCATTTCAGTGGTGAATGTCCAGTTGTGGTAACCACCCTGTTACAGACTGTGATTGGAAAGTCCAAAACACATTTTTCGCTCGACAAATGGTGGCCAGGACTACAAATCAAAGGCAGTCCCAAGGCAGGAAAACATAGTGCATGTGCAATCTTGCAAGCAGGGTTTCCCCGAACAGTGACGCATGTACAATGCTTTTGTCCATGGAGGTCATAAACAGAAAATTTCCAAGCTAAATTTCTCAAAATCTAGCCATATGACCTGGGTTCAAATTTCGACGATTGTTAGGGAACATAAAGACAAAACTGTAAACATTTTTTCAAACAAATCCTATACACAGTTTTTTAGTTATTATAAAAAGAGCCAAAATGCCACATTTTTGGCTTTTGCAAGAATCTGTCAATAGGATTTCTCTTTCTCTCTCTCTCTGAAAACTATTATTTCTAACAAATCCTGAAATTTTCAGATGGGGTCGTACGGCTAGTTTTCACGAATTTAGCCTTCAAAGGTTTAGTTTCCAGTCCCCTTTTTTGGTGCTCGGTCACTATATTTCGTGTTAACTATGCAATAAAATGTGTTTAGAAGATAAAATGATAATTTTAATACCTCAATTTCAGTGATTAACAGTTGAGTAAAGACATTCAGTTGCTGAAGATGTTCCAAGTTGAAAAAGTCAATAGTTTTCATACGAAAACTGTAATAGGCCATCTTAACAGAAGTTCTAAAACTTCAAATTTCAGTAACTTATTCACAAAATTTTTTATGATTGGGTTTATAAAGCACAAGGTTATTAACCAGTTTTGGAAAATAACCATGTGGACTTTTCTTGTTCTTACTAAATAGCTCAGAAAAGTAAGTGTTATTTTATAAACATTTAGTTAATACATTACAGTCAAACCTCTTGGTACAGACAGCTCTCTAATACGAACACCTCTCTATTACAGACAGTTTCCACTGTCCCCACAAATTCTCATATATTTTCTTTCCAAACAAACCTCCATAATACGGACTCTCTTAATTGCTTAAGAAACCACTTGTTAGAACCTTACTATGAGGGAAAACTCAGAGAAAAACCTGCAAGAGATGTTTAACGGTGACCTCTCAGTAGACGATGAACAATTGAACTCCATAGCAGAGGATGACTCTCTATTAGACTCAAACGGCGATATAGTGTGCAGCCAAAGCAGTCCACCACCGGGGCGTTACAACCAAAAGCGAAGAAATGACAACCAGAACAGACGTAGCCGCCAGCAGCAGAGCAGAACAAGCAGAGCCAGCAAAAGAAAACAGCCTGCCAACGAACCCAAATTCCAAGCAAGGAGAGGAGTTCAAGGAAGAAGCCCTTTTAGAAAACATTCACGCCACACCGCCTCCGATCGTGATGAAATCTCTCGAATGAAAGACAAAATAGAGAGCTCCGAACAATCAGTCATTAAACTGAAAAGACACATGGAAAACGGCAATTGTCTGCCGGACTTGCGTTACGACGCAAAAGCGAACATTTTTCCAGACGAGGATTTTAAATCTGACATTAAAGCCATCGGAAAGGAGGCTGAGCAGAAATTTCTAGGAGCGCTCATTAGGTTTCACAACCATCGCATCGACTGCAACCAGGCACAATTGCGAAAAGCCAAATCTTGTATTAAGAATACATCAGTTAAAGCAGGCAACAGTCAATCTGACTCATGTAACATTCCAGAAAGTTTAAAAGCTATAACAGCTAACTTAGAGAAACGCCTTGAAGAAGTAAATGCAATGTTGTACGACCTTAAAGAGGCAAACAATAAAACTGTTGAAACTTACACTCGTGTGGTCTCTGAGTCAGGGTCTAGTAATAAGAAGGACTACGGGATTAGAAAGCGCAAATTTAAGAACAAAAAACACACAGAAAGACGAAAGAAAACCCGCAAAGATATTAGAGCTATGAAAACAGAATCCAATAGAAAATACATAAAGAACCTCTCCAATCTTGAACTTACAAATGATCAGATAAATCTGCTCTCTCGTGGATTAAAATTTGTCCCTACGCCTACAACAAACGAAACTGCATTAAGAAAACAACTCCTTACAGACTTCAAAGATTTTGCTAGGAGAATGCGGCTCCAGTTTATATATCACGGCAAGGACAAAAACATCCACCCCTTCTACGATAAGTCAAACTGGGAACCACCATTTCAGCAGTCTGTCACCCTAGAGAGCCATCTAGAAGAAATTAAAATACAACTTGCGCACACACCAATAACCAAAGCTATACCCAACCTACCTCTAAATGAGAGAAAAGCTATCACAGAGCTGAAAAACAACTCTGAAATAAACGTCAAGAAAGCGGATAAAGGTACTTCCACAGTCATAATGAACAAACTAGATAAAACACAAGAGGGGCAGACCCTACTAGACGATGGAAACAACTACACACCCCATGAAGACCCCATGGTAGGGGTAACTTTCCAAAAAGTGAAACAAATAGTTGAAGAACTTCATCTGGGAAGTTTGATTGATGAAATGACTGTTAAGAGCAACTCCATGCAAATATCGACCAAAGTGCGGCAAGGTTCAAACAATAAAAATCGCTCTTCTTTTGCATACTGATAGACTTTAGTAAGTGTACAAACGCCATGTAGTTTTTTCTTCGAAAGATCTGTTCGTTTCCGAGAAAAACAAGAAAACCGTTTCAAGCCCCGCCGTCGATTTCGCAAGCCGAAAACAGGGTTGAAATTCACCATGATTCGCTCAACTTGCATTTCAAAACAACCACGCTAGAAAAAAGGCTTGTTGCTAAAATTGTAAGTATAACTCGTTGTTGACCAAAATATATAATGTTTTTAGCATTATTACAGTCTGAGTAATTATAAAAAAGCTAAAGCGTATGTCTACCTGTTGTTCAACCACGGAAGGTAGTTGAAAAAAGCGCCGATTTTCATCATGTGCCTTTGATCAGAATTTTTCAGGATTGAAGGGGAAAACACTATAAGCATCAAACTATTATGCTACGTTAAAATTATTTTGGGGAAATCATTTTGAGCTTCTCAGAAATTATTTGAAATTCCTATTACAGACAACATAAAATAACGCCATCCAACACATTAGTCACGCGACCACCAACAACAATTTGACTTTAGGTTTCCGTTTACAACGCTGGTAGCCTTGATATGAAGAACAATTTTTTTGAAAAGCTCACCTTAACCTGTATCTGTTGTACTTCAAGCTGCAATTTGTTTCATTTTGCCATCTTATCACCTATGTTACCATAGTCGTGAAGTCCGCTGGAATGTGTGCGTTCACATTGTAGCGAATGTGGAGGTGCGTGACAGCTTTCTGGTAATTTCTTCATCCCTCTGTTTTCTCTAATGTTTTCAAGTTAACATCTCATGCTTGTTAAAAATTTTGAGAAACCTGGACCTTAAAAAAGCCGTCTATAAAATAAAGCTCAGTAGTTTAACAAAGCAAAGTTCCTTGCTCGTGGATCCGTTCACTTCAATTAATCTCATTTGCATAGGAGTGTGCCAAGGGTCTACTTCCGGTGAAATACACGTGACGAGCTTTACCGACTTTCACCCGTTACTTCCAGTACACTGAAGATTCATCTTTTATACTCCTCCTTCTTCAAAAATACTCCAGTTGACATCATTTCACCCGAGAATTATCTTTAATATTCTGACGTTTTAGGCATTTGATTAACATTATCGAATTAAATTTAGTTTAATTTGATTCAACTGTTCATTCCCACTTGAAAAAGACAAAGATCTTTGCATAAACAGTGTTTGTGTGCGCTCTTCTTCAATGAAGCTATGGAAGGTTCGTGTTCCTTCGAGTCATTAGTAGGTACTCTGTGTTCGTTTGATAGAAGGGATAAGTAGAGATCAACTGAGAATGTTCCTTTGTCGCTGTCAAACTATTAAGGATGTAACTGGGCATAGGTCTCTTTCTGGTATTGAAAGCGAATCAGACTTTATTTTAGCTCAGAACTGACCAGCCAGACCATTCCCGTCACAATGATAATTTCCCTTTTAATCAAACTCTTCAGCTAGATGAGCCAAATCCGACATGATAGTATGCTCGAAAGAGAACGTTTTTCAGCAAAAACTCTTGGAAAAATCCTACTTCATTTTCAAAATGACTGGTCAGGAGGTCCAGCCGGCCAGTTCTGACGGATGGAAAGCGCCCTAAGTTCCTTTAAGATATGCCCTTTCCATCGTTCTGAGCTCGGTATTGGATGGCGACGGAACAGTTCTTCCAATTCGTGCCAAGTTCCAAAGGAAATCGCCAATCACATAATTGAAAGGAGGGGGAAACCTATTAAAGCCGACAAAGGAGTTAGAGGAAGAACATTTCAGAATATATCTATCAGCAAACCGGTATCCTCATTCCTGTAGGTTCAGGTACTCTCGGTTTATTCATTGTATTATACTCTAATAAGTCACTTAGATTCAATCCGCGAATACTATATAAAGTTTACCATAGTTGTCAACTCTCTTAGATAACCCAGAGTCTCCGGGTACGGCACCAATCCACCTAATCTGGCCGATAAAATAAAACTTTCAGTTTTTCTTTTAGTTTGAAATTAAACCTGATTTCCCCTAGAGTAAATAATTTTTTTGTAAAAGTTAAAGATTATAGTCCAGTTCTGATGGCATTTGTTGTTGTCGTTGTTGTTGTTGTTTTTTTTTACATTTCCCCCAAACGACTGACTTGTACCTCATTCAAGACAACGTGTGGGGGATATGGCGTCGGATAGAACTCAACGATTCCACATTCGAACAGCAAAACAAGTGGTCGATGCAACTCCTGGAGAGATTGCAACCTTGTCCCCAGGGTTCTCTCTATACCCGCCCTACGGACGGATAGGAGATTGCGCCAGAAGACGCTGAAAAACTCTGGGTATCCTTAGTTCAATCCCAAATTGTAGCTCAGCAGACCAATGACGAAGCCATTGACTTCAAGCTCATTAGCAGACGCGCTTGCAGAATGTTACAAGAACGCAGGACACTGGGGATCACGAAGAGATATCTTATCTCTTAGGGACGGACTATTAGAAAGATTATGGGGGGGAATTTTGAGCCGCAGGAATTTTTTTCCTTATCAAATTCCTGGTTTAAATTTTTTTAGGCCGTAGCATGAATATTTTATAGGGTTAATTGGCGTGCATGAATTTTTTCCATTTAATTTTCCCTTGCGCGAATATTTTTTTGGGTTTACTATGTGTTGAATTAACATAAGCGAACTTCGTTAGAAATCATGCGTGTTGGTTATGAGTCTCAAACAGAGTTTAATATAGAATGGCAAACTTGAACAGATGGCAACGGAAAACATTTTGCCGTAAACCTAGACCTGAAACAAAGAATAGGGTAAGTACTTTAACATTTAGAACTTTGTTTGTGAATATTAGCAAGACTTTTTAGGACAGACGTTTGATGACCTTTGCCTGGTCGACTGACAATGGTCACGCATATGTTAAAGATGGCGTTACTTTATGTTGTCTGTAAAACGATTTTCAAATAATTTCTGAGAAGCTCAAAGTGATTTCCCAAAAAACATTTTTACATAACATAAACGTTAGATGCCTGTAGTGTATTTCCCTTCAATCTGAAAACATTCTTATGAAAGGCACATGATGAAAATCGTCGCTGTTTTCAACGACCTTTAGTGGGTAAACATCAGGTAGCCGTACGCTTTAGCTTTCTTTATAATTACTCAAAGGGTTGTAATGTTAAAAATATTATATATTTTGATCAACGACGAGTTAAACTTAAAATTTTAGCAATAAGTTTTCTTCCTAGCGCGGTTGTATTGGAACGCGAGTCCAGCGAATCATGATGAATTTCAGCCCTGTTTTTGGCTGGCGAAATCGACGGTGGGGCTTGAAACGGTTTTCTTCGTTTTTCTCGGAAACGAACAGATCTTTCGAAAAAAAAAATACATAGCGTTTGTATACTTACTAAAGTCTACCAGTCTGCAAAAGAAGAGCGATTTTGATTTTTTTGAGCCTTGCCACGAATCGGCGATTTTGGTCGATTTTTGCATGGATTCGCTATTAAATGGTTATCACAGACACCTAATCCACCCAGAATACCTGTCTTCAACACCCTCACAAAGATTCATAAGCCAACTCCTGTTGGCTGACCTATAGTGGCAGGAAACGACGGACCCACCGAACGAATATTATCATTCGTTGACAGCCTACTTCAGCCTATAGCTAAGTCACAAAAGTCCTATCTTACGGACACAACTGACTTTGTTAACTTCATAGAAAGGAGAAACCTCCCAGAGGACGTTTTCCTAGTCTCCTTAGACGTTGCTAGCGTGTACACAAATATCCCACAGGAAGAGGGAATAAACACAGTATGCAAAGCATATCAGACTTTCTACAGGGAAAACACCCCTATCCCCACCCAATCCCTCAGAAAAATCCTTAAACTTATTTTTCAAGAGAACTTGTACACAAATATCCCACAGGAAGAGGGAATAAACACAGTATGCAAAGCATATCAGACTTTCTACAGGGAAAACACCCCTATCCCCACCCAATCCCTCAGAAAAATCCTTAAACTTATTTTTCAAGAGAACTCATTTGAATTCAACGGCAAAAACTATCTCCAAACACATGGAACCGCAATGGGTACAAAGATGGCAGTCGCCTTTGCAAACATTTTTATGTCGGCGGTAGAGACAGAAATACTGAACCTCAGCAAAACTAAACCTCTTGAGTGGAAAAGATACATTGACAATATTTTCTCATTGTGGAGAACTGATAGAAAGGAGATAGATGAATTCATTGCTCTTGCAAACAGGCATCACCCTTCAATTAAATTTACGGCTGAATTATCTGATAAAGAGATTAACTCTCTGGGTACAACTGTTTACAAAGGTGAGAGATTTCACAACCAAGGAATCCTTGACATCCGCACACATTTTAAACCTACAGAGACTTTTCAATACACGCATTTCTCTTCCTGTAACCCTCACGGGGTCAGAAAAGGTCTCATAAAGGGCGAAGCCGTTAGACTTCTGAGAACTAACTCCTCAGCTAAATCCTTCTATGAGAACATCTACAACTTCAAAAAACGCCTTCACGCTAGAGGTTACCCTCACAATCTCTTTTAGGACTAGATTTCAGTACCCTGCAATCTTAACTAAAACACTGCACAGAATCATTGTACATGTAGTTTCCTTTGTCTGCAAGAAATTTAGTTGGAAATAAAAGATTGTACAGCATCATTCAACCAAATCTTACTAGGTTATGTTTTGTTTTTAGAATCCACAAATCTCAAAAACAATGAAGGATGATGTTTTCTGGATGGGCGAGATTGAAGCAGCAGTGAATGAGGTAGATCCCATCAGAGGATTAATTAAAGTTTAATACATTGGCAACCAATGTTCAACTAGATGTGGGCCTGGAAGAGCTTGAACGGAAGAGGCCGGAACCACAGAAAGTATCAACCCGGAAAAAAAGGAGGATACCATTATGTCAGGAATCAACTCCAACCCCAGCTCCATCCCCACCTCCATCTGAACAAGACCACAAAGAATCACCTGCAGCCTTAATTTCAGTTGCAGAAATGAACTTTGAATTTTCTGTTATTATCAAAGATGATGTAGTTTTTAAAGTTGGTTCCCTTATTTTGTAGACTCGTGTAGTTTTCCTTTCATCATAACTCGCCTTTTTAAGCTTTTTAAGTGGCAGTAAGAGAAATGCCACTCGACCGGCACAGCTCATCAGCCTTGGTGTTCTTGAGGCCTTCCATGACATGGCAATTTTTGGTCTCTCTGAGGTGAACAAGTTCAAAATTCCTTTTACTTTGGTTGGGGGTTATAGTCTTTTAGATGGTATTATGGGGAGGGGTTGGGATGTTAAGCCATTGCATGCCGATGTGGCAGATTGTCATTTTAAGTTTGTTACCTCACTTACAGTTTATTTAGACCGAAAACATTTTACTCTTAAGTTTTCAATTTCTTATTCCAAGGCTCCATTTTCATTGAGCCCAGATTACAGGGAGAAGTGCAAGGCACTTTCTCAATAGTGTCAAGTTTTATTTGAAGTACTTTTTGAACTTAAGTTTTGTTGTTGAAAATTAGCTGAATTTAACAAATTCAAATGTCCATGTAATAATAATTAGCTGTACATTTTCATTCTTTGAAAATACTTAATTATGAAGCTAGATATAGAATGAAACTATTAGGGCTCATAGTATTCAGCTGACAATTTTTTTGGGGTAGGGGGAATTTTGATATTAGTGTTAAAGCCTAGTTTGAGTCTAGATTTTTACTAGGCATGCTTTTTAAATTGAGCTCAAGTGAATTTGCATTCGTTGAGATATACAAGAAAATACAGAATTTTTGAAAGGGTTTGGTTTGGCTATGCAAAACCAATATTTTCGACATTTATTGAGCCTTTTACTAAAATTATGCAGCAACTGTACCGTGATTGTTTTTCAGTTACGATTCCTACGGAAGACAAACCCATAACAGTGAGAGGAATAACTATCAGTAGTTCGATGGATGCCCCTGCCAAGCACCTCTATTTGCATGGTACAATTTAATGGACAATGTGGATGCCCCTACTATACTTCAAGCAGGTTGAATTGACAAATGTGGAAATTGTAGGGTGGTATATCCGTATGTGAGAAAAGCAGATCATGTAACAGACATACAAGAGAGGTTCCATGAACAAACCTTTCGAGATGCCTCATTGGCAAGGGAACAAAAGATTGCCGGCCACAAAAATGATACGGTGAATGGAATCAAAGGATTAACCGCTAGTTTTGGACCTCTGGGGTACGATGTTATTAAGGGAACAAGTATGGACTATATGCACACAGTTCTTCTTATGATAGTGAAAATGTTCATGTCACACTGGTTTGATACTGCTTACAGGCATTCACCTTACTATTGTGGAGACAAATTATCTATCTGTGATTCACGCAGAGCCAATATCAAGCGGCCTAATTATATCACTAGAATACCTTGAAGTCTCGATGATCAAGGGCACCACAAAGCATCCGAGGATCGGACTTGGCTCCTGTACTACTCATTACCTGTCATGGGAGGTATTTTGATCATTTTATGCTTTTAGTAAGTGCTATCTTCACTCTCTTAAAGACTAGCATCTCAGAGAGTGAAATACAGGAGGCTAGCCAACTACTGGAAGATATTTGTTTATGTGCTAAAAATCTTTATGATGTCCGTATTGAGACATTTAACCTGCATCAGCTTCTTCACCTTACAGATTAGGTTATTAACAATGGTCCTCTATGGTCCTGTTCCTGCTTCTTTTTTGAAGACTCAAACAGCAATGTGCGCAATCTTTTCCTCGGATCACAAAATCCTCAGTCCCAAATCATTAAGGCTGTTTCAGTGCTCCAACATTTGCCTGGCCTATGCAACAGCATTCCTGTATCCAAAGTGAAAACATTCTGCATTCTACATTCTACAATAGTAACTAGGAAGGAAACTGGTTATGTCACTGAGGTTATCAGTGAAATGAAACAACTATGTGGTTGTAACTATAGTTTAACGCTCTGCAAATCTCCCAGTAGCAGAACAGCAAGAGATGCACCTTGCTTTAGGAAGCTGTAGTGATGAGTTAACTGAAAAGCCAGATCTGTTTGCTCGCCTGAAACATGGCAAAGATGTTATCCACAGCGAACTATACACAACAGCGACAAAGAGAAATAGTTCAGTGGTTGCTTTTCAGCACAAGGGTCAATCTAAAGTTTGTTTTGGAACTTTTATGTACTACCTATCGTGAAAGTTACCCTGTTCACATGCACTATGTGAAGATCGCTGTACTTGTAGCAACAAAACCTTTTTGGCAATGATCAGGAAATTTCAAAGTGACCCTAGGGGCCTACTTAAGTCAAGCAGCTTGAAAGGGCCACAAGCTGTGTCTCGTCATCTGGTTGTTGCAAGACATAACTTCACACTTACTTGTATTCCACTTTCTCAAATTCTCTATAAATGCTTTTTTATTGACATTGGTTCAGGCCATCTTTATGTTGGGCTTGCCCCCAACAAAATTGAAAGCGATTAGTTTAGAGAATTCAACAGCAATTAATTCCTGTTTTAAGCGTATATTTGTGAAACATAATACATGTGTATGTCTGTTAAAACCTGGATTTTTGGTATGTCATTTTCCTTGAACAAACTTAGCTACTTCTTTGGTATGTCTCTTGGGGTATATACTTGGTATATCATCTCACTTATTTGCCTATGACCAATGTTTTAGGTATGTCATATCTCCTCCCAAAAAATTACCTACCTTTTTGGTATGTCTTAAAGTTATGTTTCCGGTATGTCTTGATTATTCAAAAGATTAAGTACCTTTTAGGTATGTTTTTAAACTATGTTTTAGGTATGTTTTGAAAAATGACATATCTAAAACATACTAAAGTCACTCACAACACACCTTAGAAATACCTTCAATCCTGGACAAAACTACTTGAGAAAATGTTTTCATTAATGTGCACTACCTAACGCAACAAAACTATTTCCAAATCAACGGCTTTGCGTAAAGAAAACCCCCTCCCCCAGTTCAAAGTTGCTTCCTACAAATCCTTAGGGATCCGGCTTTCTTTTGAAGACCCAACAACACTGCTTCCAGGGGGAGGGGGGAGGGAAGAATCAGTCGGCTACGAAGTTTAGAAAAAATGCCCCCCAAGTACGCAATTTTCTCAACAGTTTTGTCCAAGATCGTTGGACATACCAAAAAACATACTTAAAATTTTGTGTGGGTAGCTCTCATAAATTTTAACCCTATCAGGCTCGCTGATGACGTTTAAAAGTTCCTGGTTTTGAATGATATAATGTTGCTGAATATCTTTTAGCACAAAATTGTTTGGTGGATTGTTGGAGTGGATTGCAGATATTTAAAATTCTGCAGTCAAACTCCCACTCATTTCAGAGTTTTGGATTGTCAACATTTATAACCTAGGGGGGTACTTTAGAAAATTTTGAGTGGGGATGAGGCTATACTAGAGCTAGTTCAGCTGCATTTTGGTACCCTATACTACGCTAAACTTCCCAAATCCCCCTTTCCTAGGGTACCTTTTAGGCTGAGTTGCATAAATTTTAAACTTGTCAATCTGACTTCCTTATATTTTTGACTGACGAAAATCCAATTGATTAGTTTCCTGGGAAATGATACCTGTTCTAGACCCAAACTCTCTGATTTATATACGCTATCCCACAGTAAACTGCTTGAAAACCATATCCTTCACAGCGGCACATACCCATATCGCCCATATATGGCAGTGCTCCCCCGGGATTTATAGATGGGAAAAACCAACTTGCCACTGATAACCTAGCAATCCGTGAGTGATGAAAAGGTTAATTGCAAGATCAGATCTACTGATCATACTTTCCCTTGCAATTTAAAGATCTAAATGTTATGAAGCTCATTAATATTATTTGTTAGTTAATCTGTATCTTCATGCCATCCAGGCTGAGACAAAATAAATAAGAAAATAATGCAGATTTGCAGCTAATTTCTAGTGACATTATGTCTAGACATTAATGACTCTGCTCATGCAGCGTGCATGTACCTGCTTCTACGTTCATGCATGTGACATAGGGTATAGAATGTTGGCTCAGGTTTGGTAAAAAGAATTTTCTTTTGCAGCGAGGGTCGAATGTGTCAGCCCTATCTGAATGCCCTGAATCTATGAAACAGCTTCGGACTCTTGCTGGGCAAATGTTAAACTTTGAATCGCCGGTCTTTTTATTCCCTCTCTGGGTGATTCAATCCAGACTCTGGAAGTGCTCAAGTAGTTACTCCCTTCCGTTCGGCTATTTTCTTTCATTCTACTCATTTTTTGAAACATATACTTTTCAGAACGTACCTTATGATCTATTCCTCAGGGAAAATGATGTCCTGTACGTAGCTAGGGAAGGAGAGCTCTTTTTGAAAGTAACAATTTAAACTATTTGGACCCAATTTTGTCTCATACTGTTGATGGATGAGGATGCCCTACACTTATTGCTCTAACGTCGCACACCAGCAAAGAGCCAATGGACAGCTAAACGGATTGCTCTAAAAGTTGATATTTTCTATCCTTACGTTGACAGCTATTATTTTGTTTTTTTTTCCTTCAGCTGCAAAGCTGTACAGTAAATTGAATTTGAGGCCCAGTAGCGTGTTCCAGGGTGAAGGTTTCATCTCCTTTTTTTCTATGTATTACAATTTAGGTGACCATTGGACTTATGGAAGGCACATAAGAGGAGAGAATCAAAGAAGCCGTGTCTGGTCAAAACAAGTTGGTCACAAAATGACTATCTCCATAACTGTAGAAAGAGATTCCTAGGCCGGAAGACTAGACTGCATTAGAAAGTTTCACCTGCTTTTCCAGACCTTAAAAACCAGGTCCAGTTTTTGCCTGGATTTGAGGAACTATTTACAGCGGTGTTACTCAAGTGAGTAGAAGAGCGCGTTCATTACCATTTTGATAGAAGTTTCGACTACTAACGTTATGGCTGCTCCAGCTGCTAACAAAGCCCAGCCCCAAGGACCTCAGGTACCTTGTGCTCCACAGGCCAATGTGGTCCAGGACATTCTAGCCAAACAACCTCCAGCAAAACCGATTCTTGATGCCAACGTGGTGCTGCCAA